CCCAACCACCAACAACCCTGTCTGTATGAATCAGCCACACACAAAGGAAAAACCAAAAATAGTATAATAAAAACAAAGACGAGAGCAACTCATTTTACAGAATTTAATTTTTTAATCTTTACTGTACCATCAATATTAAATATACACAACCACATGCACCCAACACTTGTGGAACGGAACATTCTCTCAAGTCTCACAAAACTACTGAGCACAAATTCTTTTTTAAATACTTTACGAGTGAAGGCAGAAATAAAAGGCAAAACTTTGTATTGGAATTTTTTTTCTAGCTTTCAACTTGCTAATTAAAACAGCAAAAAGTCTACCCATCCGAATACAAGGAAAAATATAAACAAGTAATTCATCCCAGCAAATCAAAAAAAAAAAAGCCAAATCTACAACGGACAGACAATTCATCTTCTTCAACCCACACATCACGTGACAAAATAAAGCATCCATAGGTCACTTTCTACTACTGTTCCGCGTCGCGACACACCACATAGTTCATCTGCGCGAAACTGTGACAACGGGCACCGACAGCAGTCACACCATCCTTTACAGTACACAACAACGTACAGAACAGGCTGACCGTCGTTCATCACACGTGGCGGATCAGAATGAACGACGAGACATCACCAGAAAGAATTCTCCGCAATTCAAACCACGAACAGAAAAGACTTATTAGTTTTAGTTTTAGTAGAGGTTTTAGTTTTAGTAGAGGTTTTACGGCGCTCGCAACTGCGAAGACTTATTATCTACTGACAGCATGTCTAAAGTGCCATTTCAGTACCACCTTAAAATCAATTTTGTCCAAAATGGTGAGATGGTACAGGTTTAATGCCCCTGTCAACACTGTTGTTAGGACATTTAAGAGGCGTGATTTCCTTCCTTGGTTTTAATTTTAAAATAACGAGTAGCAGAGTCACCGTTTTTGTTGGGGCATTACTTTTTTTTCTTTAATTTTCTCAAAACGTCTAAAGATGACTTGTGCTCTTGTGTGACGACGTTGACAATACCCTCACTGGGTACCGAGATACTCGAAAAAAAGAAACTTCCCCACTAGGGAATTCCGCTCTCGTCTTCTGCCGGCAATGGCAAAGAGCCTTTACAATTACATGTGTGTACCTCATGTATTTAGGAGGGGGGGGAAATAACAATCAATACAATGAACTGGGCAGTGGCAAGTCTAACACAGCACTCACACAGCACATTCATCATCACTCCTGGAGAAGGCGGAGGGTGTGTATAAATCACTAGACTGCTACCCCCGGAGTGGTTTCATTGTGTTCAATTCCCAGCAAAGGCATGGCACAGAATTGTACAACCACAGTCCAACAGACACACACACGCACACACACAGGCACTCACACATCCATACACACACAAACTGGCCAACACAGCAGGAAGAAGTTCTCTCTTTCTCAAACACACACACATACACACACACAAAGACACCACACGCCTACACAAAAATTCGTAGAATGGACACAAAATTATTACATCTGATCCCTCACATCAAATTGACTGACACCAAGAATTTTCAGAGTGAAAGCAATGCAATATTGGAACAAAATACAAACCGAATACATGGAACAAATTACAAATCATTAGACAAAAAAAAAAAGTCGAGGAAGTAAAATTAATAATGCTCAAAATGAGATGAAGCTAAAATGTACTCGAGTGAGAGAGAAAGCAAGCAAATCCTAACCCAGTGTCTGATGGAAGCGTGAGCGACCGATCGAAAAATTCAAAACAGTAATCGGGGCATATACATATCATGATCCCGTTCACACCGCACAACAGAAAAAAAAAAGATGACATTTTCTGTTTTCCCCAAAAAGTTAATTCTAAACTACAGAATATTGCCTCGCGCCACTCAAAATAAATAAACCCCAATAATTAGTTAAAAAGTGAATATCACTTTACCGTGCAAAGACATCGCTTGCCCCTTGGCTTGGTATGGTGGCAACAACAAGTCAAACTGCAGCTCAGCTTGTACAAACTTCTAAATATTGACATCCACATCACCGCTTAAATCCGTCATTTCTACATAAATTTGACACACATAATCCGTCCGTCCGTTCGTACGTACATCTCGGACACGATTCAAGAACTCGTAAGAACACACTAGGGATGGACTGCACTAACCAACCCTCACCTACACAAAAGACAAATCGATACAGCGAAAAAGGAAAAAATGACCTCAGATCCCCATCTCGGACAGTAGGAAAGCAACCCAGAATGGCCCACGCAGAGTGAGTGGGAGAAGAGAGGAGAGGAGAGGAGAGGAGAGGAGAGGAGAGGAGCAAAAATGAGTGGGTGTGTAAGTAACGTTGGAACTGTCGGGGAACTTTTGATGTCCCTGAACCAAGAAAGTGACAGGAGAACACACAGCAAGACAGAACGATTAGAAAAAAAGTAACCTTATGAAGAATTACAAATATATCCCTCGTTTACTCTACATAATAGTAAAAAAAATGTATGGATACCAGTCTAATAACTGTGATTTAAAAAGAAGGGAAAAAAAAGAGAAGAACATCAAGGACAAAGTAACTACAGCTGGCTCCGACACCAAAGCCACTGTATCATAGCAAACTATGTCATAGAAAGAAAAAAAAAAAGAAATGTGCTGTACACGTTCACACTCGGGTAAACATAACCTCACTGGCAGGCAAAAAAGTGACAAGTGCGTGTCTACTTAGAGGCCACAGATGAATCTCAGGCCGGGCACAGGAAGAGATTGTAAGAGAAAAACCTGTGTCAATTCTCAACAAACAAAAAAATATATATAATAACAACATCTGAAGGCCAATATCACAAAAAGAAAAAAAAAAAGAAAGAAAGAAAAGCCTGTGACAGAAGAAAAATGAAGGAGGAGAAAAAAAAAAAAAAACTGCTTTCAGCGACAAGTAAAATGCATGTGAAGATTAAATCCTTCCGCTTAAAATGGAATGAACATTTCATTTGTGAAAAGAAAGGAGGTGAAGGGTGACTGAAACACTGACAGACAAGAAACCTAGAGCTCTTAAGTGTGGAGTCAGTTTTAAACAAAACCGGTCCGACCGCTGGATTTTTCTTCGGTACAGCAGCCGAAAGTTTTCGACATAGAGAGATTGCTGAAAAGAGCAAACAAAGAGTATACTCCACTGTATCTATATATCTATCTATCTATCTATCTATCTATCTATCTATCTATATATATATATAGTTAAAGACTCGAAAACTATCTACACTCCACCCAAACAAAGACTTGGGAAGAGGCCCTAATCCCTAATTAGAACTGAATACACAAGTGTTTATGTACACAGTTTGTGAGCATGCAGTAAAACAACTTTGGTAAAATTATGGGATATCACTTACTTACAGTTGGAACTAACAAAAAGGATTTGCATTTCTTATTTGAGCCTGCTTTTCTCCTCATAGCATAGAAAAATAACAAAATAAAACACCAGCAATTTCAGGAATGAGCACTAAATGTCTCTACACCTCACTTTTGTAGTGGCTTGTAATCTTCGGGTAGGAGAATGCTATTTATGTCATACAGAATGACATGATGTTCTCAACCAAGCTCATTCTAAAAAAAAGCATTTATTTCTTCCTGTGGAGGCAGCAACGATTCCCTCCTGGTCTCCTCATTTCCTAACCACAAAACAGCTACAAAATTTCTCACGACAATCTGATTACCAAGTGTTTTTTGTTGTTTTTTGTGCACAAATAATTAACTAAACCTGTGCAGCAAATGAGTATGTCAAACATATACACGAGACTGCCGCAGCAGTAGCTTCTAGGCCAGGCGGATGGGCGGGCGGGTGGGGTGGGGTGGTGGTGGCATCACCACACACACACACGCGCGCACACACACACACACACACAGGCCACTAAAATACTTGTTCATGTTACATCACACCATCAAACCAGAACATCACATGCTCTTTCTCTCTCTGAACAATTTTTTTTAAGAAAAAAAAAAGAAAAAAAAAAACCCCACAATCATGTCAATAACCTGCAATCCTTGACACCAACAACAGAGCTGAATTCAAAATCTTGGACCAAAAAATCCAAACAAAACAAGAACAGCAACCAACAAAAATCACATGTTCCAGCACCTATGATTAATATACAAAAATAATGTCCCGTGCTCAACATTAAAACGCACGCAGTTAAAACCGAGCCTGGTCAAAAACATAAAACATTTTCGCCAGGGCAACGCGACCTACCCAGGAACATCTTCACAGCAACAGCAACAACAATTACCTAAAAGATAACCTGTACGACCTCACCACATACACACATGGGTCGCACGCACACACACACACACACATATCTATCACAAACACATCGCAGACCTGACAACTACTCTACCACCAAAAATAGGGAGTTCTCCTTCGCCTCAGAATCCTCACGAAAATCGCGAGTTTCGGTGAAAAAAAAAACGGAACACCCCAGAACTGTAGAAGAATCAGATTACGCTGTGAACCGAGGCACATAAATCTGTAATGCAAAAATACACAAAAATGTAAATGTGTATTTTCATGCCATTTACGTACGATAGGCTGCGTACAATTCGTGAAAACGTAATCTTGAAAAAAAAAATTTTTCATGTGATTTTACACAAATCCTATCAGTTCTTCCACTGGTTCAAAAAAAAGTTGAAGGGCTCCGTTTTTGATTGTTTTTTTTACAGTAGCCTACTTGACAGGTCTGAGTGTGCAGCTAAGGGGGAGGGGGCCGCAGAGAAAAAAAAAAACACCCAATCGAACCAAGATGGCCGTGTGAGCCACTCATCCCTGATGATGCTGGAGTGAGGGGCAGATGACGATGGCGATGATGACAAGACGATGTCGATGATCACAAGGATGACAATCAATGATGAGGACGGGGGGGGGGAGACAGGCAGAGAGGCGAGCGAGCGTTCATTTGACAGCCAGTCCAGACCCTCGTACAGGCCTGTGCCTGCAGTGGCTGTAGCACCTTGGATATACCACTGAAAACAAAGAGAAAAACAACAAATATACACAAATGAATAATGTTTTTTTTTGTAGCACCTTGGATATACCACTGAAAACAAAGAGAAAAACAACAAATATACACAATTGAATAATGGTTTTTTTGTGGCACCTTGGATATACCACCGAGAAAACACAAGAGAGAAAAACAGTTTAGTTTTAGTAAGAGTTTCACGGCACTTGCAAACACAATAAAGTCATATAAGTGCCGAAAATTAGAAGTGTTACAAGCAAGTAACAAAAACAAAAAAGAATGAGGAGAGATCAAAACGATAGACGTTTGATAGGAAAGAAGGAGCAAACCACACCAGAACACCCGCCAACCACCCACAGAGAAAAACAACAAGTATAAACAAATGCATAGTGGGTTTTATGTATCAATGAAAACATAAGAGAAAAAAAACAACAAATATACACAAATGCATAGGTTTTTTTAGTAGAGGTTTTACGGCGCTTGAAACTGCATAAGGTCATATGAGCGCCAGAAGATTAGACGTGTTACAAGAGAGTAACATACTAAAAAAAAAAGAAAGAGGGGAGATAAGGACGATAAGATGTCTGATAGGAAAGAAGGAGCATACCACACCACCAAAGCGCCCACCGCCAACTACCCACAACCCCTGCCTCCTCCTCCAACTGACCTTTTTGTTTCTCATATTCTGCAGTCCCAGAGCATCGGTGATGTCAGCGCAGGACATGGCGTTGGGTAGATCTTGTTTGTTGGCAAACACAAGGAGCAGGGCCTCACGCAGGTCATCCTCTTGCAGCTGCGCAGGAAATCATAATAATAGGAATAATAATTATAATAATAATCATTATCGTAATAATAATAATGATAATAATAATAAAATAAAAATAATCATAATCATAATCATAATGATAATAATAATACTAATAATAATAATAATAATACTAATAATAATAATAGCAGACTGCATTTATACAGCACTTTATCCCATACGAGTATAAGCTCTGGGGGCTTTACATTGATCACGTGATCACTGGGCAAAATACTTCATTCACACAAGATAAAACATTTCACAGTATCAAGAAAACCAGTTCAACCGCATAAGGAAGAACTTTCTCAACCGCACATTAATTATATACATGTAAGGACAGCATTAAAAACAAAACATATTAGCACTCACAAACACGCAACAATTTAAGAATTAAACAAAAAAGTCTTATAACTCTTGAACAATCGCTGAAACGTAATAGGATTTGTCATTTCTCAGAGGTCTTGGGGCAAATCATGACATCATCACCAAAGGAGGTGGTGGCCCTTTTTAGCCTGAGTCAGAGTTTTACGTCACTTACAACACAATTAGGTTATAAATGCCGAAGATTAGAGGTGTTTCTAGAGAGTAACATACAAAGAAAAGAAGGATGAGAGAAACGGACAATAGATGCTTGATAAGAAAGAAGGAGCCAACTACACCAGACCACCCATGACAATCATCCTCTCACTGAGAGTTGCACTGCCACAGCACTTGAAATACAATTAAAAGATCAGAGGCGTTACTAGACAAGGGTAAAAAAGAAAAAGAAAAAGGAGGAGAGATACGGATTGAAGAAATTTGACAGGAAAGAAGGAGCAAACCACACGCAGAGCACCGTACCCACCAATCACCCAGTCACTCACCATTTTCGATAATTCGTCCTTGGCCTCTGCAACTCTCTCTCTATCATTGCTGTCCACCACAAAGATCAGACCCTGGGGAGATCATAAAACATACAATAATAATAATGATAACAAAATTACATTCATATAGCGCATTTCCACATTGAAAATGATAAATGCGCTTAACAGTTATACAGAGAACAAAGTTTAGTGATCCTTTCACTTTCTTCCTATTTCTCTTCTCACTCGCTCTCTCATAGGTTTCACTAGAAATACATTGATCAAAACTATAAGAAAACTACAAATACGCCCGAACGTTACATAAGTAGCCTATTATAAGGCAGACAGCTTCAGTTTAACACCCCTTTCCACACAATTTAGAACTCTGACCATGCCCGCCACGGTCAACTCGAGCTGAAAGGAGCACAACATACAAGACAGACCGACATACTTTATGAGCAATTTCAAATATCTATTATACCAAATAAATATCTTTTACAAATATTGATTCATGTTTGCTCTGTAAACATCACCATGAAGTCAACAACAAATCAAAGCATTCTAGAATACCAGACAGTAAGTTAAAAAACAAACAAATCAGATGATGAAAGCCCAAGATTTAGATTTTTTTTTTTTTATTGCAGTTTCTTAACCTGTGGTATCGGTAGCACGTGCTGGATAAATATTTTGTCAAAATTCAAATTCTAACGTTGAAAAAAAGCCATTAAAAAATACACCAAAATTTGTAAAAGAATTTCAACTGTATTTTCTCTCTCCTGAGTAACTTTGCCTTCTTGGCTCAGAACAACTGAACAGCTTGCAGACCAAGGCATTTATATAAATAATGCATTTTTAAAAATACATCCAGAAGAGAACTACAAACAACAAAGCCAGTCCCAGATACACACACACATAGACCTGACTACTGACTGAGTCACAGCCCACAAACCTGCGTGTTCTGGAAGTAATGTCTCCATAGGGGCCTGATCTTGTCCTGACCGCCGACGTCCCACACGGTGAAGCTGATGTTCTTGTACTCCACAGACTCTACGTTGAAGCCTGCACACACACACACAGACACAACAATAATGGAGAGGTGACGGGGAAGCTTTTTCCAGTTTAGTTTAGTTTTAGTAAAAGTTTTACGCCACTAGAAACACAATAAGGCAGGTTATATAAGTGACGAAGATTAGAGGTGTTACAAGAGAGTAACAAACACAAAAACAAAAGGAGGGGAGATAAAGACAATAGATGACAATAGATAGGAAAGAAGAAGCAAACCTTACCAAAGCACCCAACAACCACCCACAATTTTTCCAAAACAACCTTGTCAATATAATAATTATAAAAGAAGGAGGGTTGACAGCTTTTTCAAAACCCAACCAGGGGTGCCCAACCAATGTTATCACCAGGAGTTATCACATGAGACTACGCAGCAACAAACAAAATTACACCAAGTGTGACTAGTTTTTGTTGGTGAAGTGAATGTAATCTCAAAGTCGACGATTGCCGAATCCAGGACAGTAGGTCCTGGAAATTCGGGACAATTGGCAATCCTGCGTAGCTCACTGTAGTCTGACATTTTGTATCTCTAGGAACCAAGCTACCAATGTAAATTTAAAAAATGTTTTTATACAAATAAAAGTAAACAAACAAAAACAATCAAAATCAGCAGTGTTCATCAACTCTTTCAACTGCAGCAACAGATCGTTAAGAAAATGTTTTAACAGAGATGCAAGGGTCTTGTGAAAGACAAATCTAGATTATATAGAGCCTGGCCAAGTTTCCATGGAAACTTTAAGCACAAAATTTTCATGCCCTCAACTCACCAATGGTTGGAATGGTGGTGACAATCTCTCCAAGTTTCAGCTTGTAAAGTATAGTTGTCTTGCCTGCTGCATCAAGACCCACTGAAAAAAAAAAAGAAAATAACCCAAACATGAAATGAAATGGAACATCACAAGTCGTCCATAGCTAGACATATATGACGAGAAGCCAAAAAGGGTTACATTTACAAAAGAAGGGCACCATGGCAAAACACACTCTATCCATTTGCAACAAAATTGAGAAAAAAGGAAAAAAAACTTACTTTCCGAACTAAAGTAACGAAATGCAATTTTATCATAGACAAAGTGCATTTTCAGAAGAAAAAATCTCACGACAATTTTACTAGATAATCGAGGGGACAGGTTTTTTCGGAAATACCCAAATTTGGAGTATCATGCATTTTGCGATGGAACCCTTCCAGTTTTACAAAACCAAAAGGGGAATACTGGAGAAAGAAGAAGATTACACAAGAAGCTGAGATGTAAGGGCACTTTTAGCTTATTGTAGTTTTTCCCCTCACCCCCAGTTAGCTTATTTCTCATGGAAAGTATTTTTAATTTATTTCTTTTCTTAAATGGGTTAATGACAATGACAACCTTTGTTCATCTCACTCTGCGAAATCTGTCTTGGCTGTTTACAATGGCAGTGGTGTTATAAAATTCACATACACTCGTGAATTCAAACTTTCAAACTTCTACGTGTGCTCTACTCGAGTAGCCTTATAATTATGACTTATCTAAGGCAGGGGCGGGGCAGGTCCTCATTGCCTTCCTTGGATTAGGGATAGATTGGCAGTAGGGACAGGGCAGGGAAGGGGGTTCGATTTGGGGTGACCACAAGGAAATTTAAAGTTGCATCCGAATTCGAATAAAGTAGCTCACAACTCAGTGGTTCTCTGTCAAAATAGGGATGTGCACTATATAATGAACCAGTCTAGTCTAGGGCGGGTCCCTGATTGCCCTGATAATACTTCCGATAAAAAGTGACTGTTAATTCTGAAAGCGGCAGGCCCTATATATAAAGGACATGAGCCGGACTACCTGGGAAGCGCGCAGGCCCTATATATAGGGCTGACCTACATCAACCGGGAAGCGTGCAGGCGCTATATAAAGGGCATAGACGCCGACCCTTTTCAATGGAAAATTTCAGTATTCCGTATCTGGAAAATGACGTAGTAAATTACAGGTCAAAGTGATAAATAGTGACCAATGACTCTGCAAGTTATCTTGACCTCCAAAAGTATCTCTTGGCCGAGATATTGATCGATAAAATGACGTGGTCCAGCTGAGTGACTATAAATCCCTTGTTTCGCCGTGCTGATGTACTAATCGTTGAGTTTATCGCGTTTTGCGCTTTGTATAATTTATTTGAGCGCTTATCATTTTTTAAAGGCTCATTCTATCAGCTTTAAGAAAAGATGGTTTTATATGCCTTTTATCATGTTGAGCTGTAAACAGTCATTTTTCAGTAGCAGGTATTCATCTCAGGTATCTCAGCTGGTATCCCCCGTCGCTGAGCGCTTCTACGGTTAAGGATGTAGGCCATTTTCACGCCAATATTCTAGCCTACTTTTTATAACAAAAAACAAGACTCTATACACTAATACAATACAAATAGGCAGTGTGTTGAGGTTTAGACCGTACTGGGAGCTACAAAGAACTAGTCTACTCTACCACCCATATAACATCATGATTTAGTTTGGAAACTAGGCCTACAGGTGGATTACGATCAGGCAAGGAGAAACCTACCTAACCTTACAAGGCTAATGAATGAAGTCTTGTTATAACTCTACTGGGAAGGACTTCCGTAACGAGCGATCACCCCAACAAACACAATAAAGAAGAGATCTAATCCTAACCCTCTATTCTACTCTGTCTCATACTCATAGGGGTCGCTTGTTACGGAAGTCCTCCCCGTTGCCTCTACCAGCACCCCACCCATACTACAAATCACCCAGCCAGGACCTAGGCCAAGTTTCAACTGCAGTGGAGTAGCGGAGAATAGGGGCAAGAATCTAGATCTAGATTTTAGATTATAATTCTAGAGATGAACTGTTACTGTTACTGCTCAGCTCATCTGCTGCTTGCCATTGAAGCCAACAGACTGGCAGAAGTTGAGGATATGTGGGGGGAGTTGCTAGATCTAGATCTAGATCTAGATCTAGTTGCTCCGAGAATTTGTATAAACTGTAAACACAGCATCACTAGCAAAGTTCATCATATATTCACAGACATATGCAGACAACTGTGGTAATCCAGCACCTTACATCTAAAGTTCGTAAACAGTGAATAGAGAAAATCGTGACAAAATGACAATTTTCTCATTCTTTGTGACAGCAACACAGGACAGGAAGTGAGACTCACCCATCAATATCCTAATGTTCTTTTTCCCGAAAAGTTTGTTGAAAAGCGATGACAACGACAGACCCATGATTTTATAGTTTCTTGAACTACTAATCAAACGCCGGGAGGGACTGTATACTTTGTCCTAACACAGAAAAACAATAGAAAACAGATCGGAAATTCTTCTGCCACGTCAGTTCTGCCAGCTCCTGTGTGCTTTCCACAGCGATGAATGACGTCACTGAGAAATGCGTAGTAATCTTCCGTTTGTGGTGTTTAGTTTTCTCCCTTGTCTAAAATAACCATCAAATATAACGAAACAAAGCATCATAAGCAGATTCTTGGCCTAATAATAATATGACAAAAGCATAATACTTAAACTCTTAACACCTTCAGAGGTAGGTAAAAGTAAAAGGCTTCCCAGAATAAAGCAAAAATAGAACGATAATAAGGAATAGCCTTTCTCAAAGTTAGTCAAAAAAGTACAATTGCACAAAAGAATATTCAAAAAGAAGGAATACGGTTATAGATCTATGAGCATACTTCACAAAACTAAACCAATAGATCTGAAAATCTCTTTCCGCAACCACTCTCCATTAAAAACATCAATACGATTTTTTAATTTTTTTAAAGTCTCTTCTGCTGTTTAGTTTGCGTGTTTGTTTTGTGTGTTGTTTAAGCGTTTTCGTTTTTTATTTCATTTTTTAAAATCAATATTGAATTGAATTTCTGTTATCATTCCATTTCCTTATATTTTTAATAATACCTTGCTGTACAGAGTGCTTTATTTGCGAGAGCCGTACATAGATCTAGATTACTTGAAAATGATTGAAAGTAAAGTAGTTTTAGATTTCTATACTAACAAACTTTGTTCAAGTATTTGTTTGTTTTTAAAATTAATTTCCACAAAGACTCGAACAGATGTAAATAAGAGAGTGAGAGAGAGAGAGAGAGAGAGAGAGAGAGAGAGAGAGAATGACAATGAAAATGACAATCTTAATTCATCTGAAAGGACGAAATTGGTCTTGATCGTTTACAAAGGCAGTGGATGTTACAAAGGTTATGTGCACTCACGCATACTCAAAACAAGACAGGACATTAGTAAAATATACATGTTTCACCAACTTGAACAACCCGCTCCGTAAAACATTCTCTCTCTCTCTCTCTCTCTCTCTCTCTCTCTCTTTCTCTCTCTCTCTCTCTCTCTCTCTT